TGCTTCTCCCTCTGACCCTCCTCCCTCTCATGCTCTCTGTCTCTCATTCTCTCTGTCTCAAATAAATAAATAAAATCTTTAAAAAAAAAAAAACAAAAAAAAACAAACTATAATTCTAAAATGAATTGCCTGTTTATTTTTTTGAACTTTTAAACCAATTGTGGATTCACACACAGCTGTGAGAAATAATACAGAGAGGTTCCATTTACTCACTTTCTACTACTAGTGATGACCTCTTTTATAACTAGTATAGTAGCATAACCAGGATATTGACATTGATAAATCTGCCAACCTTATCCACATTTCACTAGTTTTATGTGCACACCTTTGCATATGTGTATTTCATTCTCTGCAGTTTTATCATGTACAAATTTGTGTATGCATCACCATAGTCAAGATACTAAATAGACCATCACCATAAGCACTCCTGCTATCCTGTAATAGCCACAGCCACCTTTCTTCCCCACCACTGCCCTCCCTCCACCCCAAACCACTACTTTTTGACTTGTGAATACGCTGCTAGAAAGTGCAAATACCTGTCGGAGTCCCTGCTTTCATTTTTTGAGGGATATACCCAGAAGCGGAATTGCTATATTATATGGTAATTCAGTGTTTAATTTTTTGCCATATTGTTTTCCAAAGCAGCAACAACTATTTTATATTCCCACTAGCAATGCATAAGGATTTCAGTTACTCCATATCCTTGCCAATACTTGATATTTTCTGGTTTTTGATAATAACCATCATAATGCGTGTGAAGTGGCATATCATTGTGGTTTTCATTTACATTTCATTTATGACTAGTGATGTTGAGTGACTTTTCATGTGCTTATTGGTTATTTACATATTTTCTTTGGAGAAATATAATTTAAGTTCTTTGCCCAATTTTTTGATGGTATCATTTTACTTTTTGTTGTTGAATTGTAGGAGTTCTTTAGGTATTCAGATATCAATTCCTTACCAAATACATGATTTGCAAGTGTTTTCTCCCATTTTATGGGTTACCTTTTTGTCCTCTGATGTGTAACAATTTTTTATTTTGATGAAGTCGTTAATCTGTTTTGTGGCCTGTGCTTTTGTCATGTCCATGAAATCATTGCCAAATCACTGTTGAAATGTTTATGTGCCTTTGTAAAAAGTTACTTGGGTACATATGTGTGTGCAGTTCTATTTCTAAGTTCTCTATTCTGTTCCATTGGTCTATGTATTTATCTCTCTGCCAACACCACACCGTTTCTTTGACTATAACTATAGAGTAAGCCTTAATGTCGAGTAAAGTCCTCCCATTTTATTCTCCTTTTTCAAAAGAACTGCTTTTTTTTTTTTAAAGATTTTATTTATATGTTTGTCAGAGAGAGAGAGCGCACAAGCAGGGGAAGCAGCAGGAGAGGGAGAAGCAGGCTCCTTGCTAAGCAAGGAGCCCAATGTGGGACTCGATCCCAGGACCGTGGGATCATGACCTGAGCCGAAGGCAGATGCTTAACTGACTGAGCCACCCAGGTGTCCCCAAAAGAACTGCTTTTGAAATCATTTATTTATTTACTTTTTTTTAGTAAACTTTTTAAAGATTTTATTTATTTGAGAGACAGAGAATGAGCAGTGGGGAGGGGCAGAGGGAGAGAGAGAGGGAGAAGCAGACTCCCCACTGAGCAGGAAGCCCGATGCAGGACTCAATCCCAGGACCCTGGGATCGTGACCTGAGCTGAAGGCTTGACCTGAGCAGACGCTTAACCGACTGAGCCACCCAGGTGCCCCATTTACTTATTTTTAAAAAAGATTTTATTTATATATTTGAGAGAGAGCAAGAGAGGGGGAGCACAACCGGGGGGTGCAGGGGAAGGGGCAGAGGGGGAAGCAGACTCCCCGCTGAGCAGGGAACCTGGTGGGGGCTCAATCCCAGGACTCTGGGATCATGACCAGAGCCAAAGGCAGAGGCTTTGCTGACTGAGCCACCCAGGTGTCCCTGAAATCATTTAAGTGCTGTGCTTTTCCATGTATATTCTAGCATAAGTTTGTGTCTACAAAACACCTTGCTTGGATTTTGATAGTCATTGCATTAAACCTGTGTATTAATCTGGTGAGAACTGACATCTTTGCTATGCTGAATTTTCCAATCCATGAACACAATTTATCTCTCCATTTATTTAGGTCTTCTTTGATTTCGTCCATCAGTGTTTTGTAGTTTTTAGGATATAGATTCTTGCCTATGAATTTTAAAGTTTGCTTATTATGCTTTTCTTTATAGTTCTAACGTTTCCTTGTATCTCAAAATTAAAGTTTTAGAGGATAATCTAGCTAGGATGGCATTATATGCATTATGAAATACATTTCTTTTTAAAAGGCAACGAAAACTTTTAACCCTAAAAGATTCTTTAAATGACAAAAAATTCTCTATTTACCCTTCCTTACCGTTTCTGTTCAAGTAATTGCCAAATTTTTGTACCTCCTGTATGTTTGCTTTTATTAGGTTGAAACCCAACATCCAATGATTTTTGACCTACAAAAACAGCAATTTCATGTTTCAACCTAATATTTTTACTCACTCCTCTGTTGCTTACCAAGGATGTTGTAGTAGCTCTATGTGATTTCTCTTCCTTTATTTTCTCTCATCTGTCCCATATTCTGTTGCCAGCTTCCCATTTCATCAGGTTCTGGCTCACAGATCACCCATTTGAAACCTTTATGATTCCCCTGAGATGAGTCACTTCCTCTGGCTTCTGTATTCTCCTGTTACAGCACTTCCTACGATATATTTTTAATTTATCAGGTTATGTGTTTATTTCTGTCACTTGCACCTGCTGGTAGGTAATGTTGCTGATTTGTCTTTGTATTTGCTTGGCATATTAATTGATACTCAGTGAACACATACAGTTTAAGAAGAATAACAGCACTTATTGCTCATTTACCGTGTGCTAAAGACTATTCTAGAATAGTTGCAGGGAAAATTCCAGTAATAGCTCTGGAATTTTCTAGATTAGGAAACTAGAACTAAGACAAGTTGCTTGTCCAAAGTCACACAACTGATGTGGTAGCAGAGTAATGGCTCCCAATGATGTCCTCATTCTAATACCCTAAAGCCTCTATAAAGAAATACAGCCCTTCTGACACCCTGATTTTACCTCAGTGAGACCCATTTCAGATTTCTCATCTCCAGAACTGTATAGTAACAAATTTCATGATAGTTTGTTATAGCAGCAGTAGTAAATTATATAACCAATAAGACTAGGATTTAAACTTTGGTCTGAGGCTATAATTTATAGTTTTTCTGTCATGCCATGATCATGTGACATTAAGCACTAAATACTAATACTGATATTTTCATTCATACAGTATGTGTTCCTTGGGTGCCTTCTATCTAAAGAATGATGAGTTAGGTGTTGGATTCAGTGATCAGAATCACCAGATTCCTACCATCTTGAACTCAGTTTAGTAGAGGAAACAGACAATAAATAGATGAATAAGCTATTACAGATTTCAGGGTTCAGTTATGCAAACAGTTTGGGTACAGTGAATAGGAATACCAGAGTGTGGAGAGGGTAGAGGATGTATATAGCCTGCTGGTTCTTTGTGAGGAGGCAACAAGAAGCTAAGGCCTGCAGGATGGCAAGGAGACAGCTGGGAAAGAGCTCAGAAGAGCATGCCAGGCAAAGGGACCAGCAAGTACCAGGCCTCAAGCCTGGCCAGCGCACAGTGGTCAGAAGGGTTCAAGAGAACTGGCATGTCTGGAGTAGAGTGGCACACAGAGAGCTGGGGAGAGAGTGCACAGGATGTGGGGTCAGTGTGTGAGGGGATTTTGAGTTGGAATTTTATTTCAAATGGATTCAGAAACCATGTTTTTTCTCTGATGAATAGGTATGGGGTAGTTGATGTTTTACAGGGGTCTACTTGACTGCTATTGGATGTGAGATTTGTTTTGGCGTAGGATTGAGAGACTTTGCTCATGAATGTGGCCGTGAGCAGCTGAAGTAGGTGCAGTGGTGTTTAACCTGGGTGGGGCAGGTTTCAGGCAAAACCTGGCTTTTTGTTTTGGATATGTTTAACCATAGATGCTATGGAGTGTCTCAGCTTAGATGTTAAGGGTGGGGTTGTATATGTAAGACTGGATCTTGCAGGAGAAATTAGACTTTAAGATACAAATTTGGAAGTTTTCAGCAAACAGGTAATATGTGAAACTCTGAGTGTGAGTAAGATTAGCTGGGGAGCAGGTGCAGAGAGACTGGGGCAAGGATGTAAGATGCATTGCTCTGGGTGGAGTCTGAATGCAAAGCCACCAGAGCTGCAGAGTGGGTCCAGGCAGGTTCAGTTGAGTGTTAGAGGACAAGCTGGACAGAGCAGGTTAAGGGTTAATAGGGTGAAGACAAGCTGGAATGGAAGGGAGGAAGTGGAGGCTATCTGCAGAAAACCTTTTAGAGAAATCTTAACAGAGGAGACCAAAGAAATGTATAGCTGAAGAGAGACAAGGTGGTAAGAGAGTTTTTAGAAATAGATACCGGAATTCGTACATTTATGTTCCTAGCAACACTACCCATAATAGCTAAAAGGGAGAAATAACCCAAGTGTCCATCAACAGTTGAGTGGATGAACAAATGTAGTATCAACACACAACAGAATATTATTCGGTCTTAAAAAAGGAGGGAAATACTGTCCCATGCTACAACATGTGGACTAGAGGACATTATGCTAAGTGAGGTAAGCAAGTCACAAAGCTATAAATACTGTATGAGGTAGCAGGAACAGGGAAATTTATAGGTTCAGAAAGTAGAATCAAGGGTACCTGGGGCTAGGGGGCAGGGGAGTTAGTGTTTAATGGGTACAGCCTTTCTGTAGGGGATGATGAAAATCTTTTGGGTATAGATAATGGTGGTGAGTACACAACAATGTAAATATTTAACACCATTGAATTTTACACTTACACAGGGTTAACACTGTAAATACTCTGTTATATATATTTTACCACAATAAAAAAGTAAATACAAGAGCATTCTTGTTGAGGGAGTGGTCCACTAGAAAGCAGAGGTGCACATAGGAGAGCGGACAGTGGAAGGCAGAGCCTGGGAAGGGTCACGGAGGTGATGACCATTGCCACTACTGAGAGCTCAGGCCTTTGCATTCCTGCACCTCACTGTGTTCAACCTGAGTCCCCCCATTCTAGACCAACTGTGTGCTGACAGGTACCTCATGCCCTTGAGTCTGTACACCTCTGTCTACATGGTCACTTTTTATTAGTATTAGAATGACCTTTTTTTGAATTAGTTCCCATTCTTTTAGGCCCAGCTCAAGTGCTGCCATATCTGTAAAGCCTGTCTTGAATACTTAATAGCCAGAAGAAATCTCTCCTTATATTAGATATAAGGAGCTTTTTAAATATTTCTTTTATGGAATTATTCTACAGACATGCTGATGTTTCTCTCCTCTTAAACCCTCTCTGACCCCTTTTCCCTCTATCTTCTTTGACAGTTGGGCTCTGTTTTTAAATGTATATCAGTCCTTTCGATCAAAGCAAACAATTTTTGAGCCTCTGCTGTTTGCAAGTCACTGTTACAAAGGCAGATAACTTAGCGATGAGTAAAGCTTGATTTCTGGACAGCTGCAGTGAATATTGGTGGGAGACCGTTAAACAATTGTGATGTCTGTCAGGTCAGGATAAGAGTCTTGGGTTATACTTGTGTAGCTGTTTTATCTTTAGGTGATAAGTTTACTAAGGTCAAAGCTCATATTTTATTCATATTTGTAATTCCCATAGTAATTTGGTGTACTGTGTGCTGAATAAAAGCCTGGCAGTACAGGGATGATGATCATGTGCTTGGCCTTATATAATTCTCCATACAACTCTCAAAAAAGCTGTATAGTGTCCCTTTTTATAGATAAGAAAACTGAGGCCCTGAGAGATTACCTAACAGAGCTTGTAAGTGATGAGGTGGAATTGAAACCCATGTCCTTGTTATACATTTTTTTCTTACTTTACTGTAGTAATAACTGCAGCAGTCATAGCTTGCAGCTCTTCAGCTGAAATGAATGATAGAAGACGTGATTCCTGAATTTGAGCTGTATGAAATAAAGCTGTTGGTTGTGAAGAGTTTCTGAGGTTAGATGATACTGTTGGGATTTGTAACGGAGGCTTCTTTTTGTTTTCTCGCCAGATCCCCAGACTTCAAGGGAGATTTTTGATTTTGCATTAAAGGCAATTCGTCCTCAGGTAGGATTAATATTACTCTAATTCTTTTATAGCTGAGACTTGCAATTGTCAAACATTGATGGTAATTTTTTTTTTTAAATAGATTGATCTGAAGAGATATGCGGTACCCTTAGGTAAGATTGTATATTTAACAAGATGGAATATTTCAGATTTTTAAATTAATGTCTTGAGTAAACTTTTGCTTAGACTATGAATGAGAGTCTTATGATAATGTCTCTGATGATTCACATATAGTTACTTGGAGGCTCTTGGAGACTTTGTTTTTAGCACGCAAACTCTGGTTAAATGGTCACGCTTAGATTACATGATTTTAAAAAAATTACTTTGGAACATCTTTTAGGGGATCCAGATTGTTTGATACTGATTTTATCTAAATAAACCCTGATCCTACTTCTGAAATTTGTTCTGGGGGTCACTGGCCCATTGATTCAAATGAAGGCTGGCAGTGTTAGAACTCTGATCAGAATCCCTAAGTTATTATAGTGATAGTGGATCTTCATGAACAGTTTTAGTTTTGACATAGACATATACTTAAAGCTTTCTTAGTTTTTTATTCTGCTTTTTGTTGTTCTATTTTAAATACAATGGTTTTTGCAATTGCAGCTGGCTTATGCTTATTTACGCTGCATGCATCTCAGTTTAGCACCTGCCTTCTGGACAACTACGTTTCTTTATTCGAAGTACTGTCAAAATGGTGTAGCCATACGAATGTAGAATTGAAAAAAGCTGCACATTCAGCTCTGGAATCTTTTCTGAAACAGGTATTCAACTTTTATTTAAAAATATTTTTTCGGGCGCCTGGGTGGCTCAGTCGTTAAGCGTCTGCCTTCGGCTCAGGTCATGATCCCAGGGTCCTGGGATCGAGTCCCACATCGGGCTCCCTGCTCAGCGGGAAGCCTGCTTCTCCCTCTCCCACTCCCCTGCTTGTGCTCCTGCTCTCGCTATCTCTCTCTCTGTCAAATAAATAAAATCTTTAAAAAAAATAAAAAATAAAAAAAATAAAAAATATTTTTTCCACGCAAAAAATTAAATTTCAGTTTTGTGCATGCACATTTGAAAAATGAATACAGGTTGATCTATTAGCTTCTGTAGTATTTAAATAAAAAAGCTTGGTTATTGATCAGCTGCATGGGTGGCAGCAGGACTGAAAGAAGGGTAGGAAGATACCAGATCTGATCACAGCCTCAGAGGCAAGACCGGGGGAGTCTAATGGACATGAGAAATGGCAATGAGGAGGTAGAAGGAAGAAAGGCTGGGGGGTCGGGGGTCCTCTGAGCCAGGGGCAGCCATGTGGGGGTGAGGGCCAGCTGTCATGTTAAGATGTTTGTGTTCCACCTTACTTCGAGAACAAGAAGAATCCATTTGCCCTTGTGTATTTTCCATCTAGTTAGGATGTGATTGTCAAATTGAGCCTGTAAATTTGTAAGTGCTAAGAGGGAATGTACTTGTGACTCTGAGCATCCAGAGGTGTCTAGAAATACCTGCTGTTCAGGCCAGGTATTATGGAATTAGACTGGTTGGGTTGTCTCTGATGGAAAACTCTTTTAAGAGTCACCAAAGTTTTGTTTGGAGCAATGTTATAAATGGTAGTTAAATTTACAAGCTATTCCATGAAGACCTGTCTGAACTGTGGCACAGACAGTATCCCGTTGTAAGGATATACACAGTCTGTTTATAGACACTTGAGTTGTTTCCAGCTTGGGGCTATTTTAAATAAAACAGTTAAGAACATTGTGACGAAGTGTTTTTGTGGACATACGCTTTCACTTCTCTTGAGTAAAAACCTAGAAGTGGAATTGCTGGGTCATATGGTAGGTATATATTAAAATGTAAAAAAACTGCTGAACTCTTTTCAAGCTGCTTCCACCAGTTTAATTCCCACCAGCAAAGCATGGGAGTTTCTGTTAGCCCACATCGTCATCAACACAGGGTATTGTTGGTCTTTTCAATTTTATCTCTTCTCATGGATGTATGATGTTACCTTACTGTGGTTATAATTTGAATTTCCATGGAGACTATTGATAATGATCTTTTCTTATAGTTACTAGTCTTATATTTTGTGAGGTACTCATTCAGATATTTGGTTTATTTTAAAATTAGGTTGTATGTCTTTTTATAAATGAGTTGTGACAGTTCTCTACATCATTTGGATACAAGTCCTTTTCTAAAAATATTGCAAATAATTTCTGTGGCATCTTTGAAAAACCAGATGTTTTCTTAGCAGCATCTTTGAAAGAGCAGATGTTTTAAAGTTTAAGTCCAGTTTACTAGTTTTCCAACTTGTTCTTCCTTTCTGTGTCCTGAAAATTTTTGCCTATCTCATGGTCGTAGCGATTTTCTCTTACTTTTCTTCAAGAAGTTTTATAGTTCATAGTTTTAACATTTACAGTTAGATTTTAGGGGCGCCTGGGTGGCTCAGTTGGTTAAGCGACTGCCTTCGGCTCAGGTCATGATCCTGGAGTCCCGGGATCGAGTCCCGCATCGGGC